CGAGCTGAATACAGTGGCTCAGCTCCAGCGCGCACAGCTGCCGTCACTGCTGCAATTCTTTTGCCTTGAGAAAAAGCATATACAATTTAATATGCTCCTGGCACAACAGCTTTTCTGTAGCCGGGGAGGCGGGTTTGTTTATGGCTATTTTGATAGGGCAGCTTTCATCCAGACACAGGTTCGGCGGCATCTCCGCGCTCGGACAAGGGTGCCTTTGTTGGGCTCCTTCTCATGCTCCTTGGGAACCGCTGGTGACTTCGGTGCCTTCTCCTGCCCCCTTAAAATGCGAGTTTTAAAGAGCCCTCTGCAGTTAATTCCGTATTTCTCTTACTTCATTAAAAGCTAACTCCCGGGCACAGGGCCAGCGGCGCCGGCAATAGGAGAGGGTGTGATGCTTTCCTGGATACGTGTCAAGGACATGAACCATCCTGCCATCCCCTGGCAATTTGTCCCACACCGGCCCATCGCAACATGTGCTGGACGCATCGGAGCGCTTGCGCCAGGCGGAACAGAGCGGGTGACGCCAGCGGGAACACGCCAGGCTCGGCAGCAGCACCGCCGCTTTCCCGGCGGGCGCCGTCCACCTCGCCAAGATCAATAGGGGCCGTGCACCGCGTGCCGGGGCCTTCCTCCCGACCGCAGGGCTCCTCGCTACCCGCTGGGGCCGACGCCGGTTCCTTTCGGGCTGCGCCGGTGCCGCGCACTCCGGGCAGGTCAGCGGCGCAGGCTGCAAAGCGTCGACTAACGGCGCGCAGGCTGCAAAGGCGGCCAAGTGCCTCCACCTGGCAAACTGCTCCAGCTGCCCCTGGACGAGGAGGAGGAGGAACCTCGTGTGTTTTTCGACGGCGAAGTCTGTTCTCTCTCTCTCTCTGCCGTAGTGGAAACAAGTTGTGGGAGGGCTTAGGCAGCGCTGCTTCCCAGCCCCGTGCGATCCGACGTCCCCGCCGCCTCATGCCCGCGCCACAGACACTGGCGAGCGAGTGAAAACTGCCCCAACTCCGGCCAGCGCTCAGACCCTCCCAAACACACGGCAGCACAACAGTCGCTCTGTGGCGCGCATAAATTCCACACATACGAAGGAATGTAAAGCAGCCATTGTGTCCCCCCCCTGCTTTGCGGCTCCATTTCACCATTTTCACAGTTTATCTGGAAAATACATACAGCATGGTACTGGACGTCGTATTTCACTGCTATGCACCGCGATGTCTTCTGGTGGAACAATCGCCATACTTGTAGTCTAAGAGGCGTACAAAAGTGCTTTCAAACAATAACAATACATTTTCTGTATAAAGAGGATAGGCAGTAGCCACTTCCCAGAAAGGCTTGATTTCCCTGGAGCCAGCAGCAGGAACATCCACAGCACCAGCCAGAGCACTGCTGAGAAAATCCCTACCTCATCACCAGTCTATACGTTGTGCACATGACTGGGTCCTTGCAAAAGCCGAACGGAGACTGTCAGCACCCACCAAGGGCTAGGGATGCACCCTGCAACTTCCTGCGGTGCTGGGCTCCCGTTAGCCGGATCTGGGGCTTCGGTTTGGGGCACAAATCACATCTTTTTAGTGTGCACTGAAATTGTAAATAAAGAAGAGCACTGTTGTAGCAGCTTGGCTACTAGAGATCATGTCAAAGAGCAGTGCCTGCCAATTCATTCAGCGTTGCTGGCCCGTGGAACCAAATGGCACGCCGTTGTTCCGTGTTTGGAGACAGTTTATACTGGAATAGGAGCGGTTTTCTTGAGCAAAATGATTATTTTTTTCCTCCATGAAAACTCGTGATTTTTTAAAGAGAGCCCCGGACGCTTCAACTTGCAGGAGCAGAGGAGCGTGGGGACGTGTGTGCCCATGCAGCAGGGATTCTCCACATTACTGTGCTGACAGCAACGTGAAAACAAAGGTTAGAACATGGCCAGAAGGGAGCGAAGCCCTCAGGCCAGCGTATGTCCAAGGAGCCTCTCGAGCTGCTTTGCTTTCCTAGGCAAAGTGCAGCCTCTCCCCTAGAAGATGAATCCAGATTTTTAGATATCGGGCGAATCACGCTGGCACTGGAGCTTGATCAAGCACAAAACATCCTCAGCCTTCCCCAAAATACCAGATGGCTGCAGATGCCAGCTCCTTTGGCCAGGCAGCTCTGCTGAGAGCAGGCCAGCTTGTTGTGTAAGGGCTGCATCCCAGATAAAACTCTGCCGAGCAGCCAAGAGCCACGGAAACGCCCTTGGAGGAGGAGCGTTCCAGCCACAGCCTTCCCAGAGTTTCAAGGCTGATCCACTGATGCACTGACAGCTGAATACGTTCCCCTTCCCCAGAGGGAAGGGGGACCTAGAGACGCTGCTCCGGCTGTGGAAACATCCCTACGAGTGTCAGAGCTGATGTGTGCATTGGAAGAAGACAAATAACATAGAGTAAGTCTTGCTCTATCATTAAAAACAAACAGACAAACAAAAGAGGCACCAGGGCATGTAAGAGGAGAGACCTCGCAGAAGATGAGCTGGTCTTTGAAACATGAAGTGTGATCTTTCAAACCAATTAATGCCCACCGGGTCAATGGTGTAACAATAAATAAATGTCTTCCTACCCTGCTCATTTCCATCTGCCCACAACAGTTTGCAGGACAACGCTGCCGTGGCAGTGGCTGCATATCCATATATTCTTTATTTGTTCATACAGCACTGCAATAAACAGAAAGCAATAATGTTGCAGACTCTTTTTAATGCAATCACGATGGTTTTGCCTCTGCATGAGATAATATTCTCTCTCTGCTGCTACACAGAAATGTGAGCAAACAGAACAATCCTCTCCTCTATAAATGGGTCAGTGATTTACGCAGCATCCAAGCCCTCACAACGGAGTGTTCTGCACAGACCTTGTACTACCTTCACAGCACAGGGAATTGCACTCTTGTGGAGGGGATGCTGCTTCTGAAGCAGGGCCACTCGCTGCAAGGGAAACAGGAGCAACCACAGCCCAACAAACTGACATGTCTGGGGATTGTTTCATTCTTCTGAGCAGCTCCTGGCTCCCCTGGGACGGGTAACACGGTGCTAGACGGTGCTTGCCTGAGGACTGAGGATTCCAAGGGATGATTCAACACTGGGAACCCTCTGCCACGAAGCACTAGGAATGGTCAGGACTTCTGCAGCGAGCTGCTCCACACCCTAAGGATGGTCAGCCATATGGGTCCTGTAAAAACTCTAAAGGCACAAGTAGTTTCTATTAAAGAAAAAAAAGTCTTCATTTTTGTTTTGGAGTCCTGAGATGGCTGTGATACAACTAAAGCTGATCGAAAAAAAAGAGGAACACTGAGGAGTGGCAAGATGCACTTCTGGCAAACGTGGGCTGGAAATGTCCTTCTGGAAGGACCTCAGAGAGAGCGGCCACTTTTGATTGCTACATAATGTGAGTAATTCTCAGGAAAGATGAGTCCATCCTGCCTGAATCATAGCGAAGGGGGGAAAATAACACACCGCAGAAATGGAAAGCTGCATCTCCCTGAGATGGAGGGAGCTGCCCAAGAGCCCTGCACGGGCCGGCGCGGAGCAGCCGCACGGAGGGAGCCCGGGCCCTGGAGCAAAGGCTCGGGCACGGGAGACAGGCTGGGACCACCACACGACCACCTCTGTGGCCCCCCCAAGTCCAGCTGACACGGGAGCTGCTGTGTGGCACCAACGACACACTAAAAACCTGTCGGCAAGGAGCCACGCTCCTCCGCTGTGTGAATCCTGGCTCATCCAGAGGCACGAGACACAAGTGGCTCCTTGAGAGGTCTTGTATTTGGCGAGAAGTTTGCCCTGAATTTAGTTCTTGGCCAGCGCAGGGCACCCACACAAGCCATGGTGGCAGCAGAGTGAATTGCAGCCAGCTGCTGCTAGAAGCCATCGGTGCCAACACGGGGTTTCCAGCTCTGCGTACGGCACCGGGAAAGAGGGAAGAGCATTTGCCTTGGAGGACCAGAGAGCCCTGCAAAGGCTTTACTGAAACCATAACATGAAGGTCCTAGAGACACCTCGAACCCCCCTTTCTCCATATAGACATATATGGTTACACTTTAACATAAGAATTTCTTTCTCCATGCTCATTCTCCAGAAAACCAGATTGGTTTCCATTACTATATATAGCTCTAGGATTCTTGGCCTATTTTTTGTCCCTTTGCATCTGATTATTTTCAACAAAGTTCAAACTTTTTTATGATATGCAGATTTTAAATAGAACATGACTTCTATTCACACAGGCTTCCACTATTAATAAACCCACAACTGCAACATATAATGTAGAAGAATTTTATTCATACTGCAATTCTGTCCCATCATCCACTGCAAATATTACAATTATCTTTAAATTGTCATAGAGTATCATTTTGTTCCACTTCGAGCATAGGAATTTTAGTATTAAATGGTTACACTTCTCTTGAGATTGCTTATAACAGAACCATAATTCAAAAGTATTTTCCATGATCTATAAAGGTTTATAGCAAAGAATCTGTTCTCTGTGTGTGCCCAAGTAACTTTCTGAACTGTGAGGCCAATGCTTGGTGTCCAACAATAAAATGTTTCTTGTATATTATGCCAAATACTTGCACGTTTTTACCAATACAGCAACAGAAATGCAACAGGTAAAATAGCATACATGATTGACTTGTAACTTTAATTATTTTTAACTGCACAAGAGAATACAAAAACAGTGAAGCAAATCATGAGTTTTGCAAATGCACAGACATTATATCTATATATACACACACACACACATAAACGTGTGTGCATATATATATATATAACAACCAGTGCCTATATAAATGTTTGTCATAAAATTGCAAGGTTGAAAAATGTGAATGTTCATATTTAATTACACATGCAAGAAGCATAACATAATCATAATAAATAGTAGCAACTAATATACATCAGTAGGACCACTGAAAATCTGCTGAAATATATTAATCAGCTTGAAGTGATGAGAGGCCTTGGGTTCTGCAGCCCAGCAGCAGTTGGCTCTGCAGAGGCCTGGATCTGTCCTGTAACTGCCCCTCCTGGACAGGTCTTAGGATACTGGGACCCAAGAGCCTTCTTGGTAGGGGTTAATAGAAAAGTTCCAAGTCAGATTTTGTTAATTCCAAGGAGGAGAGCACGTTACCTGTCAGTGTGAGTAATTTCAGCTACATTCTTAACTTTACACCTCTATTTTCAAACAGAAGATTGCTGCCTTATTTCATGACATAATTTTGGCATGTAAAAGGTACAGAAAGTTCTTATTTACTCAGAAGAATGCTATCATAAAGAAGCAATAAACTGTTTTCCAGAAATGAGAAGTGGGCAGTGCTGTTTAGGGTAGCCGAGGTGCAGGGCTTTGCTACTGCTAGCAAGGAGAAATTTCCTTCAAAGGAAAAGCTTCCCCAAAGGATAATCAAAATGATCCTATCTTTGAGGTCTGCCCTATGGAGCAGAGCCTGGACCTGGAAAAAGCTCCATGAAGAGGAGCTGCTGTCTCCACAGGGCAGCACATACACATGGAGGAGCCCAGGCACCAGGAACTCGTTGCAATTCTTACCTCTTGGAAGAGGGACATCATTCTGAAGCATATATTTGGCTTGCAGAAAATCTGGTCATATACAAACCCAAAGGCATATAAATTGAATTAAATGGACCTTGTGCAAAAACGGTCCCATCAAACTGCTGTTGGTGCCTCTGGTGTGCATCTGGCACCATTTCTTCAGCATTTCATATAATAGTCAGAGAAGTGGTTGAAGACACCGTGGTGCAAATAAATACGGAGCTTCCAAGACACTTAACTGAGTGGAGAGTTGTCATTGACTTTCAAGGGATCTCATGTGGACTCTCATTAAAAAAGCTGGAGACAAAGAATTTAAGGTCTTTAAGGCTCCATTAAAATTCTTACAAAATATTGTCCCTTGAAATCTTCTCCTAGAAGACTGATCTGGAGAAGACTTTGGCTTAGTATAACCTCAGTAAACACAAAGCCAACTTGGATGGGTTTGTGACAAGCAGGAATACGGACCCCGCATTGAAGCCACAAACAGAATGATCCCAAATTTTACTTCTCCTTGGCATACTGGAATGATCAAAACCTTCCTCTAACCTTCCCTCTTAAATTATGCAGGTGTCACTTACCATGTGGGATTTCACAAACCTCCAGTCCACCATCATTGAAAAGTCTTTTAAAAGTGACAGGCAGAGGGACATAACTTTATCAAAGGAGGTTGACAAAAGGTGAATAAGACCAACTTTAAAGTAAGGTGTAAAATAATGAGGAAATAGAAATTCTTACGCATTTTAAATAGTTAAAAATGCAGGTCTAGCTATTTGATCCAGCAATAGGTAAAAATCTTGCCTGCAAGCCAAAAGCCTAATCTTCCGTAAACAGTTCCCCAAAGCTAGTCTTATCCAAACAGTTGTCTTCCTGCTTAAATGATACATAAGATTTGAACTGACATCCAGTGCATGACATAAACAGAAAAATACACATAAAATGCACACTTTTTTTTTTTTCTTCATAAAGCCATGGTGCTGCACAGCGCAAATTTAAGTGCACAAGGTCACACAAAGGCAGCTTTCCCAAAGGAAGCGTTTAGACCGTGAGTGAAATGAAACTGTTGTATCTCTGAATGTTTCTCTTGAGGATTTCAGAACAAGGGCCGAGCACTCGTTCAAAGCGGGGACGATCTAGCTTTACACACTTCAGGGGTCCACGTGCCACCACGGTAGCAGCCCGGGGCCGATTGAGCAACAAGGCTATCTCACCTGGAAACAGGGATAAATTCGTCGTCACGCATGCAGTGCTTCTCTTTTGGAAGGGTGCATATTCTAGCCGCTATACAGTTGCTTTGATTGTAAAATATATTCTTTTATATTTATCTTGATAGGCACTTTACATAATTCTGTTGACAGAACAAATGCATTACACATGCATAATGCATGCGTGTAAAATGCCTCTGAAAACAAATGTATTCAGAATGTTTTGCTGATTCCGGATCTGTCTCCTGTCAGTTACAGTGGTGTAAACCAAGGAATAGTTTCAGCTTCAATGAAATCTCTCCATATTGCTGAAAGCACAAGCTGACCTAGGCATAACCTCCTTCTTCATTAAAGAGCAGAAAAACAATTAAGAGAGCAACTACCTTTATCGATCCCATCTGCCTGTCTTTCTGAACAGTACTTTATCAAACTGAAATTTCTTACCGAAATAATCTGATGGACCAAGTCTTCCAACTTCTACATACTCCTCATTATCGGATCTGCGCTGGAGAACCGAAGCTGTGCCCTTGGAAAAAAAAAAAAAAAAAAGTGCAGAAAGTCAGTTTGCTTTGCTTAAAGCTGCTATACCATTAAAAAAGTACTAAATCCAGAGGACTTCTTCTCACAGGACATCTGCACAAGCCCTTAGAGCTGCTGAAAGAGAGGTAACACTTTTACAAATGTCACAGGGTTTGGGTGCAGACAGATTTTGCTCCCACAGAAGTCAAAAGTTATTTTGAGGACATACACATCCTTAGAAGAGAGGCTGGAAAGAGCTGCACCATAGGAATAAATAGGTGATTTTCCCACTCCCTGTCCTGGGACATCATTTTGTGAGACTGTTGATAAAGGGAGCTCTCAGTGCTTGCTGCAGCAGAGGGCTGTGGTTTTTTCAGTGGCTCTGCCTGCTCGTGGCCTTCCGTGGTGATCTGGACACCTGTGAGTCGGTCGCTTGAGAGATGGAATGTGTCTTGTCTACACTACCATTAATAACTGCAGCACTTGGCACATGCTAATACATGTCAAAACTCGGTAACACTCTATTTAAACCTTCAAAGAGGTTCTACATGCAGAAATATTCTGACCTGGAGGAAACCTTAAATTATTTGTGGCATAAGGATTATGTACAGGAATACAGAAACGATCTGCTTTTCCAAAAAAAAAGAACAAAAGAAAAAAAGAAGATAGCAATTTATGAAATTCTGAGTCCAAACCAAAAGCACAGGCAGAAGTAAAACGTTAATGTATTTTGATTTTTAGCTGAAGTTAACAAGAGTTTTTAAAAGCTAATAACTAGACTGGACAGCATATATTTTTTTTAATGTAAGGAGCCTGATGCTGATGCTGCAAGAAGAGTGCAAGGATGAAGGAAGTATTTAGAAGTAATCAGGGAGCATTGATAGTGTTTGTTTTCACGATTCTCAGCTTGGAAAGTAATACCTAGGGGGCTGAACCACAACAGACCCCCACGACAGGAGCGTCTGAGGATGCTGAGCACCTTCATACACCCCGGCTTCGGTGTCCTGAAAGGAGCTCAGCACCTCCTGAACCCTTTCACATTTACACTGTGTTTAAAAATACCCTGCAGGCTCCTTAACACATCACTGAGATCCAGATCTGCACAGCAATGTCAGGCTCCTTCGGGCCTGATTCTTGCTTTTCTAGGACCTGCAGAGGGGCAGGAATGACCAAGAGCTGCAGAATATTCAGGGTAAGGTAGTAAATTACCATATTTTGCCTTCTTTTGAACAAGGACTACCAAGATGCTGTGACACTGTTTCATTGTATCACATTCTATTTCATAACAGGGCTATTTTTAAGCCCACACACTTCCTGAAATACGGGCAACTTTCTAGGTTAACCTACAACTGTTACCTTTACACATTATATAAATGAAGAGAGAAATCTTATTTCTTAATCATGCCAAGAACCAAAATCCACACAATGTGTGAGTTTTGTTTGACGTACGCTAAGCACCCGCTGATTTTAATATGCAATTGGATGCTTCTCTAATGAATTTGATGCATTAAAATTTATAATACCTCCTTTTTGCCCATTATGCATAACATGTGCTAAACTACTAGATATCACACTGTCAATGCAATACAGCAGAAAATTTACTGTTGCAGGCCGTCAGCCACACACTGCATTACAACAGAAATCCGAATAAGCACCAGGACTGCAAAGCCTGGGCCAGTTGAAAACAATCACTGAACTCTTCTAGGCTTCAAGGCTTTCACTCTCCAAATGCTGGAGAGCTGATGGCCTAAGACTCCGAAACGTCTGCTAAGCACAACTTGCACAAGCAACGGCATGTGAGTGCAGAGAGGTCAGCACAAGATCACTTTCCAGTTGCTCAAAGATAAGCTAAACATGGGGGATTGGTATTAGTCTTTTTCTTCCCCTCTCCTTTTCTTTCTCTTTGCTATTAAAACAAGATCACACACATAAAACTATCTGCAGCAAGGGTAAGGCAGAAGGAACTGCAAAGAGGACTGAATATAAGAAAGTGATTTGGCGCCTGTCAAGTTTCCAACAAGAATTCCTTATCCTTGATATAAGTAAATTGTTTAGCCAAAGCTGCTGTTTTCCAAGATATTCCAGTAAATCTCCAAGCGGCTGAGCATGCAAAGGTAGAGCAGTGAGTTTTTTTATTCACACTTACTGCAACAGCCTGCAGAATAAACATTCGCACGTAAGCAGCGTTCTCGGAATATCTCATGTAGGGAATAATGACTCTATCAATCTCCTTCTTGACAAACTTCAGATCAGGTGTTGCTCACAGGCCTAAAATGATGTTGTTCTTATTGCCTGTGCAATGTAGACAGAGTCAACTTCAAAGTCACTCCCAGCCCTGTCATCCTCCCGGTCCCCATCTGGAGCCTGACAAACACCTAACCCCTTGACCCAGATAGCTGTCTATAATCTGCGTTTCCTTTCCCTTTCCCAAAACTGTTTTTTAAACTTTTATTACAGATGTTTTATTACATAAAACAGAGAATCCCCCAAGTAATCATATTGATTGCCCAGGTCAAACAAAGAAAGGATTAAATTCCCCACTGCCCATCTGAGCATGATGCCACAGAGGTAATCATAATACCAAATAATATTGCTTTCATCTCCCCCAGCATCAGCTTTTATTGTGGCTAATATTTTTTGACAGGGTCCATATGATATAGGACTTCAATAAGTCAGTTTTCTGAAGCAATTTCTTCCACTGTTCCACTACGGTCGGCCTTTTTAATCCAAGAAACACCATGATATCTGTTGGAGAAGGACAGATGTGTCTGGCCTCCACAATAAACACTTGGCTTGGCAGGATAGAGCAATGCATATTCCAGATACATATTTTTTCCACTCTTGTTTTAACAGTCACATAGGCTTTTCCCGTTGCCCAGTGAGAACAGGTCTATCACGGAGCAAAAGAAGTTTCCTGAAACCCTGACAACAAGCACCCAGATGCAAGAGCGGATTACGCACGGTGGCCTCCCGTTGCCAAAGTCCCCAGCTCCAGAAGTGCTTCCTGGAGCATTGTCCAAGTGACCTTCACGGGAAGACGGTCCACAGCGTTAAAAAAAGAAGATGTATTTACAATTCTCTCTCTGTATCACCTTCATATCATGTATCTTATCTCTAGAAACCAACATTATTTTAACTGCATTAGAGGAAAAGCCCAATCGCACGTGAACAGTTTAACCGGGGCAAAAATAAAATAATAAAGACACGATGCCTTCTTACCCATATACTTAATGAAGCTGTCAAACTAAGCGAATTGGGTGCTACCCCGCATCTTCGCTCCTACTGCCACTTTCATGGCAGTGTTTCATTTTAGTTCACTTGTCAAATCTTTCCAATACAGCACTGGAGCTTGCAATCCCTCCTTGAACAAACCCAACTACATATAAATAATGTAAGGGAATAAATACGAGCCCTGTCTTGCAGGTATTATCCAGAAGAGACTCGAATGGCTCACTCTCCCCTTCTAAAAGTATTTGCTCTCCGTGAGAAACATCTCCCCTTGGGTGGCATACGGAGCTTGGCAGGATCAGTCTCAGCGGAATAAACTGCACGAGCCGAGATTTGCAGGATCAGGCTGTTTAGCACTGCTCTATTTTAAAAAGTGTCTTGTACGTTGATAGTTATTTCAGCCTCCCACGCCGCCGAGCAAAGCCTTCAGAGCACAGGCTCAAGCACTGTGAAGAAGTTTGACACCGTTTAATAAATCAGCACTTTGCTACGATACGAAACGGGGAGCAGACAGGCATGTCCTTGTCCTAGCAGACATTCGGGAGTGAAATGATGATCTTCGAGAGAACCAGGAATCTTCCTTTTCAACCACTGAGGAGTGTCTGTATTCCCAGGAACTGATATCACCAACCTTCTCTCCTTCAAGGGAATACAGGCATCCTATTGCAAAAACAACACGAGTAGCAGCCCCCAAGCAAGTGCCATCCCCACCAACCTGCTGCTCCCCCATGCTCCCGTCCACTCGCGTCCCAGAAACACAAGATTTATTCGTGGGTTTCAAATGCATCAGCAGTTTGTTTGGTAAGAATTTATAGCCTGGATTTGGCACCATAATTTCAGATGTAACGAATAAATTACGGTTTATAATCCATGAGTTCCCATCCTCCCCAAAGTAATGAGATTTTGACAGATGTTTCACTTTTAAACTATTGGACCATATGGGTGAGTTAGACATCCTGGAGTTAAACGCAGTAGCCCACCTAGATCAGCATCAACCATTCCCAGGCCTGATCCTGGGTGGCCTTATGAGCACGGGTTGCTCCAGGAGGCCCATCCTTATCCATAAGGATGATTCCTGGGGCCAGGGTTTGGTCTAAGTAGCCTGGTTATAAAACACAGGTGCTCAAGAAGGAGGCAAAACCCAAGATCCTTCAGATTTTCCTCTCTTCCAGGAGTGGAAGCTCCGTGGATCAGACAGGGTTATGTATTCCAGGACAGCACAACAAGGTGAAATGAGCTGTCCGATGACGTATCCTTGTCACCACTATGGCAGGACAGGCTGTAAAGTACAGGGCGGCTGTTTGCTAGGGACAGGAGGTAGGAAAGGAAATCGAGCACTGCTTTTTTTAACTTTTTAATTCCAATCTTGTTGATGTTCTACTCTCACTGCTTTAACCTCTCATCTTAGAGACACAGCAAATAGTAAAAAAATATAGTGAGGCTCTCTCTAGTTGAGAGTTGAAAAAAAAAGTTGAAGTTTCTATTTCAGCTTTTTATTTATTTATTTATTTATTTGGAAGAAAAGCAAGGAAGACATTTTTTTTTTTCCCTATGCCCTCAAATCGTTACATTTCTATCCTGCTTTTCAGCTTGGAAGGTTTTTCCTGGGCTACTATATTGTTTTCTTTTGCAGCATCCACTAGAGAAGAGCAAAGCACTCTGCAGAATCAGAGATGAAAAAAGGTCAGGCCTATCCATCTGCTATTGCTATTAACTCTACCAATTGCTATTATGAACATACCTTTGCTCTTTCTCACTTTGTTATTCCAACGCTGCATA